CAGCAGAACATTAACTAAGATACTCATGTCAGGTAAAAGTGTTTAATATGTAACTTTATGAAACATCTGAGCTATTTCAGACACAAAATACATTTGCAGCTACTGAACATGTATGATAGCACATTTTTTTAGAAAATTCTTCTTGTTAACTTTTATTTGACTATGTATATGTCTCCCATGGAAATCTAGGGCAAAATTTGCTCAATAAACTTTTAGTTAATTTAACTAAGAAGAAAGAAGAGGGGGAGGAGGAGGAAGACAAAGAAGAGGAGAACAGGAGACCACTGGATTGGGCCCAACAGGGACAGGAGGCAGGAGGCAGGTGGCTGTCCTGGGGCAGTTTATCTTCCTGACCAAACTTTCACCACATTTTCTCCTTTGTTAAAAGCCCCACCTTTTCCAGTTCCTAGGGACCACTTTTTTTTTTTTTTTTTTTTAATTCTAACGTACACAAAAATGTTTCTGTAAAATATTTGACCAAGATGCCATTAGGAGTACAGGTTTGTATGTCAGGCCACTTAGAGGCCAACGCTGTCTCTCTTGTTTGGTACAGCAATGTAACGTTGTCACACTGCTATGTCCTCGTTTGCACAGGCAGATGATGGTGAGGACAGGAAACGCCTTCTCCTAGGATCGAAGTAGAGAGTCCTGCAACAAAGACAGATTAACAAGAGAAAAACCTACCAATTTGTTTAGTAGATGCTTCATAGACATGGAGTCTTCAGAAATGAAGACCCAAAGATATAAAGAAACTTATTTGCATGCTAAGTTTGGCGGGGAAGTGCTGAAGTATGATTGGACAGGGGGAGTGTCCTAATGACACACCTCTTACCCTTAGGAGAGGGCCAGGAGGTGAGGTGTTTATCCTTCTACAGTCCTTTGACAGAGCACTATACATTCTAAAAAGAGAGAGGTCCCCCTTAAGATGTTGCTGAATAATTCTTCTTAGGGTTCTAGAAATTAGATGGCCTTTATAAAACCCTCCGAAACTTTCAGTTCCATCGACTGAAACAGAGCAGGTACATCAGCATGAGGCTTAACTTACCTAGAAGTTGAAGAAGCTCTAAAGGAACACGTTCCCTTCAGGACTAAGAAGTTCATTGTAATATTCCAGAGCAGAATCAACAGAACAGTAAAAAGAGATTTATATCCTAATGATGAAGACACCCTCACATCATAGGGCCTTCCTGCCTGGGTTCCCCTTTCCTACTCGGCAAAAGCTCTTTGCATAGATCTATGAACAGAGAGTCCCTCTATTGTCCCATGATTGCTGAACCTTGAATGAGCTGATTCCTTTCCATGAGGTCTCGTCTCAGGAGTAGTGAGTGGCCTCTGAGTGGTGGGAAGCCCAGATCTAACAGTGTTAAACTTAGCCAGCCCTGCCAGAGGCTTTCTGCATCTCTTTGTCTTAGCAGATGAAGACTCTTCCCGTTAATATTTGGTGGACATGAAGGTTTATGGCCTACTTGGAGGTCAGATAATTTTCTAGGTTTTATCTGTCCCTCAGTGGAGAAAGATGGGGGTGGGTGGGAAGTCAGGGGAAAATTCTTGCTGTTGTTTTCATGGACACTTAAGGCAGCATGTTCTGAACCCTGCCACAGACAATCATAGCACTGCTTGGAGAGGGATCTGGAAAGCTGAAAATGTACAACGTATGTAAACTCCAATAATGGTATCCAAACTCCAATAAGCCCTTAATCAATAATGATGGCTCTCTAAGATAAAGTAGGACCTCACGGTGGGCAAATATGCTCCTTTACCAAAGCTCATGAAGAATCTGTGAGGAAAGAGAGGCCTATCGTTCCCATTTGGCCAACAAAGAAACTGAGGCAAAGAGAAATTAGCTTGAGGTCACGAGCAGAGATGGGAGTCTCACTTTCATTATCTCAGTCTGGCACTCCTGTCCTTTCCATTAGCTGTGCTGACTGCTAAGCCTTATTGTGTTCCTTCTCCCAAGGGATTTGCATTTTAATGGTGGCCAGAGGTTCTATGTTAATGCACAAAACTATGAATATCTAATTGTAGAATCTTAAAATACCACCTCAGGGGTGGGGGTAAGTGGGCAGGGTCAGGTATTGAGTAGGGAAAGGTGGGGTTGTTTTTTTTTTAGTAGCAAGGAGAGAAAGAAAAAAAATGTACTGCTTTTGAAATCATGTTACACAAGCAGAAAGTCTTTCTTCTAGTCTGGTTTGGAAGGAAGAAATCTCATCCAGGAAAAGGGGAGGCAGGCACAGTGAGGTTAAAAGGCTCTGTTGGCTTTTAGGAAGAGAAGCGTTACTACTGGGTCTTTGGGATTTGGAAAGGATTTGGATGGTTGAGGCCCTGGGAAAGGCTCTGAAGACAATTCTCAGCTGGAACTGAGGGAGACACTTCAAGGATGATGCTGTTGCTGATGCCTCTAATCAAATGCAAGGAATGGGTCCAATTACAAAGGAGAACTTAATCAACTCTCCCATCCTGAAGCACTAACTAGGCTAGCACTGGCCTTAGTCGAGCTAGACTTGGAGGCTCACATGATGTCACCAAGTCCCACTTCATCTCCATCTCAACTCTCCTCAGGCTTCCTCTTAAGGCTACTCAAAATACCACCAAGCAGAGCCAGTATATGCCCTCCTTATAACCATTGCTACTGGAAACTTAGAGGTCTCCCTCATTGGGGAACTTTGAATCTCCTATCAGAGTAATGGACTCAGAAGAAAGCTCAAGTATAGGCAGGAAATCCATATGCCTCAGCAACTTCCTGGGAGAGGGAGATGCAAAAGAAAAAGAGAAATTCATGCCTTGTGGGTTAGGCACAGAGGTTAGGCAAACAGCCATATGGCAAAAAGGAGGTAACCTCAGAGAAAGAGCCAAAGTCCAATGTACCAAAGAAAACATAGACTCTGGAGGCCACCCAAAAGAGACAGAAAAGATGAAGAAGGGGAAAAGAAAAGTTACACGTTTCTGAGCAAGGACTCAGAAAGACAGACAGTACCTACAGCCTTGTGTAGTTCCATAGCAACTGTACAAAGAGCAGGGACTTGAGAAGCAAAAGTGCATCATCTTCTGAGGGGAATAATTATTCCTCCCATCTCTTTAGCACAGTCTTACACAGGTGAATACATCTTCCTGAGGAGTCATTTTTTGCCAGGTGATTGACAGGTTCAACTAGATTCTCTCTTACATTTTTTGTAGCTTGGAATGTTAGGTTTACCCAGTCCAGAGGTAGATTCCATTCTCTTGACCAGAAGGAAATAGCTTTCTCTTCGTGGGCCTCTACCAATGCTACCATAGCACTGTTAGTCCTGGTGAGTATCCCTGCTCATATCACCAGTGCTGGATCAGGAGGCCAGAAGCTAGTTTTGGAAAATAGGGGAAGAAATTAATTCAAAACAGGGAGTTAAACTTATACAGCCAAAAAGGGATGAGGCAGCAAATTCCAGGAAGGCAGAAGCTGGTCTCCAGGAAATCTAGAATGTGGGAACCTCAGAGATCTGCCACCCAGGGTCTCAAGTGCCTGGAGCATCCAGGGGAGCAGATTTAGAGGAAGTCCAGATGCCTGCAAAGCTGCATGTGGCTGTGTCTATGTTCCTACCTCTGGGTCTGCTACCTCTTGTTGGTAGACTCTTTAAAAAGCACAGGCTAGACCAGAGTCCGAGGAAGACAAGCTCCTAGCTTTCTGCCTGTGTGTCAACAAAGGACTGAGAAGGATGGAACAATGTCACTGATCAACAAAGCCCCTCTCTCATTTTTTTTTTCTCCAGAGTTGCTTCTGTTGACTCTCTGGATTGGGTGACTCTATGTGGACAAAGTCTTGGATTGAGGTGCGACATGCTTCCAGGAGGGGGAGTGTTCAATGAAGTCACAAGGCATCCTGAAATAACAGAGTGGGGCAATGTATGGACTGGGGGTTGGGAGGTATGAATCGTGAATGGCAATTGTTACTTAAGTATGAAGAAAATGGAGCCAGAAAAGCTTACATTATAGTTTCTGTCTGGATAGATAACTAAAAGATGAACTTTAGAACCAAATGATCACTGGTTTAAATACCTATATGTTTTGAACTAACATCTTAAACTTCTTGGAGCTTCACTTCACCCTGAGAACAGCAATTTGATATGAAGTGTAGTTAAGGATTGAGTAATGAAAGCCTACCTGTTATCTGGTGCAGAACGTGCACACACAATGTCAGTATATTCCCCTCCCCCTTTCCACTTAGTGACTGGTTCAATAAACAGCAACTGGAAACTGGCTGGCTGTTAGTATTCTTAAGGGGAGTCCACCAGAGATGACCGCTCAGACACAGCTCACAGACAATTGAAAGTCTTTATTCTAGCTGCTGGGACTACACTCAGGTATTGGGGACCCCACCGTCACCCTGAGTGTCCAGCGCATGGGGGTTTTGAAGGCAAAAACTGTGTCCTGGTATCTCCTTCAGCAGCTGCAAGGGGTGCTTTGCAGAAGCAAACAGTTTAGCAGAAGCTACAATAAGCAGTTAGCTGGAGGGGGTTCTGTACAAGCAGGCAGCTTTACAGAGGCAAAGGTAAGTTAGTTAGAGCATTTTAACCTCGGGTTCCTAGTATAGACTTGGGCAATATTCCGTGGGATTTTCCATCAAAGCGATCAAATTGTAGTAGTGGGCTCAGCAAGAATAAAGCTGGAGGAAACTCTTCAGTGTCTTACCCTGTCACAGTATCAAAGATGAATATGATAACTTCTTGATCTTTATAAGCTCAGAGTCCAGGGAGCAAGGCAGTCATAAATAGAGTCACCCTCAGAATTCATGGCTCTATTCGTTACTTTCATATTACTAAGGTCAAAATATCCCCCGAAGAATCATTTGAATGAGGAAGAACATGGTTCTTGGTATGAGAGGGATCAGAGACATCAGTCCATTATGGCTGAAGGGTGTGGAAGAACAGAGTGGTTCACATGGTGATGGAAAGAGAAAGAGAAGGGGGGTGAGCATAGAGGCTGCTGCTCAGCTAAATCTGTCCCTTTCCCCCTCTTACTCCATCCAGATCCCCATATCATGGTGCCGTCAACACTCATGGGGAGTCCTTCCCCTCAGCTAATTCTCCTGAAGGTGCTTCTCCATCTGTTAGGTGACTCTAAATCTGGTCAACTTGACCATGAAGACTAGCCATCACCCCAGAGGACTAGTTACAGGACCATTCGTGAATGCTGAATCCAGTCAACTTGACCGTGAAGATTCGCCATCATCATGGAGGAGGTTGCAGGACCATTCCCAGATGCTGAATCCATGGAAATCAACTCCCTTGAATTAGACCTTCATGTCACCATGACACAATATGTGATAGAAACCACACAAGGAAGGAAACACTTATGTCGCTCTTGGTGTCAGAACTTTCAATGCATCGTGGCAGGAAGGATGCAGCAGACAGGAAGTAGAAAGGAGTAGTAACAGGAAGGAGCTGTGACCCACTTCCTCCAACTAGGTAGGCCCCGCCTCCAGCCATTTTATCACCTTCCAAAATAGAGCTACCCTTTGGGTACTAAGATTCAACACAAGCCTGTAGAGGGCATTTCATATTCAAGCCATCCTTTTTCTAAAATGGTATAGCAGGCATGCATAACCGACATATATCCTCTTGAATGGTTTGATCTCTAAATTATTTATGGTACCTAATATAATTAAATAGTATGTAGATGGCTGGGTGTTGTATTATTTAGGGACTCGTGCAAGAAAAAAAAAGTCTGTGCTGTTCAACACAGATGCACTTTTTCAGATATTTCTCATCTGCAGCTGGTTGAAATGTGTATGGAAATCCACAGATACAAGGGCTGACTGCCCCCCCAAAGCATGTGAAGTGCTATGAAGCATTATATAACATAAATGCAATGAATAGTATTGAATACTATTTCATTACATATTTAATATCAGCAGTGCATGCAATTAGGGCATCTTTGGCAAGCTAGCTTCAAGTTCCTATCATTCTCTACAGCCCTCCTTGTCCCCATGGTGAGTCACAGCTGCCCACTACACAACTCAGTTTAGTGCTGGCCTTTCATTGCCTTCTCCATACCACACGGATTGTGGATCTGCTATAAGACATGAAGGGATGGGAATTCCTGCTAGCTTGAAAATCGGCCCCAGCGTAACCAAACACGTGTGTTGATCTCCCAGGCTCCTGTTCTCTGCTTGTCTCTCTCTCGGGTGGGACTGTGCCTTTCTTTGGTGGCTGGTAGGCTATGGAGTGACAGGGTTGTTAGCCTTGGTTCTTCACTGCAAGAAACTTTCCACAACCTGTGAGGAACATGTTCTGAGTGCCTCTGCAGTTCAGCCCACAAGGGGTTAAATGCCTGAGGAAAAGGTTCCTGCCTAGTCCATCTCTTCACTGCACAATGGCAAAGCACTTTCTCTGCAGTGACCTTTGATCTAATTGCACATTTGCCATCATTCAATTGGGCCCACCATTCTCTGCCCAGTAGGGAAATGACAGGAGACTGAAGGGCCTTGAAAGTTCAGTCCTTAGCTTTGTGGCTTTTTGCCTCAAATGCCACCCAGGCCCCTGCAGGAGGAGCACGCTGTGGTGGCTCCAACATCCAAATACTCTAATACCAAGAGTGCCAGGGGGTTAGGGCTGTGGCAAGGAGGAGGGGGGGACAGAAGACAGCGGGGGACCCCTGAGGACCAGGTTCCAATGTCCAGCTGCCATAGAGGTGGCATTGAGAAGGCCATTAGCATCCAAACTGTGACTGGGTGGAAGCAGATACTGGGCTACCTTCTCCAAAGGCCTCCCGCAGGGTCCCAGAGGGAAGCTGGGGCAGGCCCAATAAGAGGAAGTAGTGTGGGGCGAAGGACAGAAGGTGCTGGTTGCCAAGCTCCAGTCTGAAGGGACCAGGGCACATGAAAGGAAGGTCTCCACATGGTCCACGCAGGCTGAGCTCAGAGACAGACCTGAGAACATACAATCACCAGTGCTCGCCTTCACCTGGGGCTCCAAGGAGGCCCTTGGACCCCTGCTGAGGGCACTGGGTTACCTTGAAGTGTGGCCTTCCCACCTCTGCTCTACTCTCAGCCCTCCCTGCTGTCATAGAGTCTTCCAGAAATATAAGGGGAGCCCCTAGCCTTCTCTCCAGTCCTTCAGCACCCTTCAAAGCCATGCTGAATAGTCTCAGACCCTTTGTTGTAGCTTTTCAGCCTTTCAGGAGCCTCTACCTGTCACTCAGTCTCCTTTCTTGTGACATCACTCCAAGAACCTTGGCCTGCTGCTATCACACTGACTTCTCCATTTGCTGAACATACCAGAACCCTGTCCAGCTTCTGTGCATGTGACCTTCTCTGCATCTGGTCATCTTTTTTGCTCTTGGGCATTTTACCTGCATGACGCCTCTGAGGAGCCATCCTGATCTCACTGAACGTTTCTGGATCTTTGTACTTCCTGACTTAAAGTCTCACGGTAGACATACTTACTACACATACAAGACCTGAGTCCAGATTCTAGCTCCACTGATGTGGTATTGAATCACCTTGGATAATTGGCTTGACCAGTCTGAGATTTCCGTTCTGACCATCCCAATGCAGAGCAGCTCATGAAGATTAAATGGGAGATGTCTCCCATGTGTGACAGTAGTCCTGCAGGCTTGCAAGCTGTTTAAGGTTAGGAATGACACACAGGGGTTGATAAGACGATTCAACTGGTAAAATGCTTGCCATGCAAGCTTGAGGATCTGAGTTTCATTCCCAGCACACGTCATAAAAAAAAAAAAAAAAAAAAAAAAAAACTGGGTGTGGCAGTGTGTACTGGGTAGGATGAGGCAGGAGGATTCCTGAGGCACACTGGTCAGCCAGTCTAGCCTAGTCGCTCAGCCCCAGGTTCTGGTCAGACTCTATCTTAAAAAAGCAAATAGAAGGCTCCTGAGGTCAACACCTGAAGTTGACCTCTGGCTTCCACACACTCAAGAATACACACAAGTGCACCCCCCCCCCCACATACAATTATATGAAAATCCTATGTCCTCTCTGTGCCCAGCTCTCAGCTAGACTTAAAGCAAGCGCCTGATGCAGGAGCAGAGGCCCTTGCCGGAGGTATGTGGCAATGAACCCCATGGCATTGTTCACCAGGGAAGGATTGGGAAGGGTAGAGGAAGGTAGGGAAGGGCCAGGAAAAGTAGGGAAGGGTTGGGAAGAGTAGGGAGAGGTAGGAAAAAGTAGGAAAGGGTAGGAAAGGGCAGGCAGTAGAGAAGCAGGCAGCATCTGGAGGCCTCTTCCCCACCATCACTCATTTGCCTAGCTGAGCTCAGCAGCCCTGCCACAGAGGATATAGGGCTCCAGGCCCGGAGGCTTGTTCCAAACTGGCCCAACTATTCTTGGGAGCTTTTTATGTCATAAAGAGAGTCCCCTAACTGGCCCGCTGACCTTTCCCCAGGCTTCCTGAAGGCTGAGTTTTCATCTGGTACACAGTATAAGAGCCACCTCCCTAGAGAAAGCAGAAAGAGCAGACAAGAGGGACCGGTAATAATAGCCCCCACTTGGTGAGATTGATAGCGTTCTGGGTGTTCTGTCGAGCATTTTGGATACATTTCCAAATTTAATCTTTGTGCCTTCAGCACAGCTGTGGGTTAGGATGGTAAGAACGGCAGTTCAGAACCATCAAGGCACTTACTTAAAACTACACAACTAGGAACCAGCAGAACCAGGGTATGGACCCAAGCTTTGTCTGACTCCGAAAGTCCTTACTCACAGTATTTCACATTCTTGGGGTGGGGTACGTCAACTGCAGGGCTGTTGCTTCTCCAAGACAAGGACATATTCCCCCAGAAGTTGGTTCCTGGGGTCTGGATGGGCAGCTGGTTTGTGAGGACTGCTCTTTTCTTGGTTTGGGGTCAGGGAAAGGGCAGTGATTTATTCTGCTGATTACGCCATATGTTCCCTTTGTGGCCAAGCTGGTGACAGAAACATGAACGCCGTTAGAGAGTATCGTTACGGGAGGACGGACTGCATCATCTCCAGCTGGAGCTAAAGTCGGGAGAGATAGATCAGGGCCTGTTGGGATCGCTCCCTGGAGGCAGGCAGCAAAAGCTCAGCCCAGCTCTTCCTCTTCATGCACTCAGGTGGAGCCACAGGTGGAGTCAGCAAGTTGGAAGCTTGGCTACCAGGGCAAGACTGTTCTCCCTGTGGGGGAGTCCCATGTGCAAAGTGTCTGCCTGTATGAGTTTCTGTCCTGCTTCTTTCTAAGAAAATATGGATATGGCAGGATTGCGTTGTAATCACCACATCTAATTACAAAAAGGGAGTAAATCACCGAACAAAATTAGTTTTCAGAGTCTTAATTATCATCAGAAAGAGTAATTAATAAGCAAAACAGGAAATGACCAAGCCAAGTTCCCTAGTCTGCAAAGATGTGTTTTCCTTTCAGCCCTCAGGAGGATGGGGAATGGGAGGGATGGGACAGATGGGGTGGGGGCACAGTACCAAAGCTTTCAGAGCCCCAGTGGGCATTAAAAATGAATATCCCAGGGCTCCATGAAACTCAGATGTTCACATTCCTTTCAAACTTGGTTTGCAAAGTTTCTAGGTCATTCCTTGCAGGCCCTTCCTTTCCCAGGCCTGGTGGCCAGAGGAAGGCAGACGAATTAGAATAAACATACAGGCCAGTTCCCTTCTCTATCCTTCCGAGTAACAGGCTCTGGGCCAGAAACTCTCAAACCAATTGATGATAACAAGCTGAAGTTCAATGCCATTGGCTGTCTGCTGAGACCGCCCTGGCTTTTCTTATGTCTGTTCATCAGCTTGGTTTTTTTTTCTTTCTTTCTTTCTTTTTATTTATTCATTTTAGTAGTAGCGTCATATAAATAAAACACCATTACAAAAATGTCGCAGAAAGTTCAAAACTATTCATTATCCATTTCGTACAGATTAAAATTGCCATCAAGGCTGTTTGGATTTGTCTCGCGTTCCTTTCCTTCTAATGAGCCGGATAGAGAAGGCAAAGGATGCTAATGCGTCCTTACATCTCTATCATATCTCGGCTTTTACTATATAAAGCATCAAGGTCGCATTCTGGGGAAATGTCTTTTTACCAAAGGTGCTATAATAATAATGAAGAAGCAATTTGTTTCAGCAAACTGCCTGCAGTAATGAGGCTTAATTATAACCATGTTATTAATACCGCTGCTTAAGGTAATTCACTTCTGAGCGGGGTGCAGAACAGTAAACTATAATTTAAACAAGAATCGAGACCTAATTTAAATCATCGGATCTACTGCGGAAAAAGGCAAACAGAATGACTATAATCCGCACGTTGATTTAAATCTTACCCCCCCAAATGCCATTTCCAGGAGACCTGGGTGACTATCAGAGGGGTAAGAAGCCCCAGTGTGGGTCTCGGTTCTCCCACTCTTCCAGGAGGCTTTGTGGGTGACACAGCTCTGCTGACCTGTAGCCAGACACCTGTTGGCTCTTACCTCCTCCTTTCCATAGGCAGGTGAGGTT